ATATAGGTAGAGGTATACACTTGAAAAAAAAGATGTCTTTTCGAAAAAATTTAATTTTATAAACAGCTAGCTTCACTAAGTAAAAATAATATTCGAATATAGGATCTTGAATAACATAAAAAATGCTCCTAGCTTTTTATTAAAATGTGTTCATAAATTTAAAAATTAATATCGCCCAAAAAAGAGAATTTTTCTGACGCGAGGCACAGCGGGCTGGAGGGACAATTTAAGACGCAGAAATTATTTTTTTAAGTAACTCTTAGTAAATGTTTATTTTTTTGGTCTAAATGATGAAATTTTAATAAAAATTACGTTTTACTATCATTAGAAAAACAAATCTACAATATAATACTTTAACAACAAAAGAATCTTTGAATCATCTTTGATTTTAACAAAAAATACATAAATAATAAGGACCTACTGATAGTTATCAATACATTTATTTTTCCTTAAGCGAATTTCCTTATTTAAATATCAATTATGAATAAGTATCAGCCCTGACCGCAAAATCCCATTTCCTGTATATGTCAGGAATATTCCCAGGATTATACTAAGCGTACCAGAATATTCCCAGGAATATTCCTGTCGTAATCAAATGTCCGCTTTTTGGTTAACCCAGTCATCACAAAAAGAATATTCCATCTAGCGGCATGCATAAGACTTAAGTATTAATAAAATTGTTAGGAGAATATTCCCAGGAATATTACTGGCGTAATCAAATGTCCGCTTTTTGGTTAACCCAGTCATCATAAAAATAATATTCCATGTAGCGGCATGCATAAAGTCGGGTCTACAATTTTCGCATGGGTCCGATCGCAGAACATAAGCTTGCGCAAAGCACCCGGCTTTTGACTTAAGTATTCTTAGGAGAATATTCCCAGGAATATTACTGGCGTAATAAAATGTCCGCTTTTTGGTTAACCCAGTCATCATAAAAAGAATATTCAATGTAGCGGCATGGATAAGACTTAAGTCTTAATTAAGTATTTTTAGGAGAATGTACCTTAATATACTTTGGGAATTACTCCTAGCCCTTATGGCCACATATACCCAGGAACTTAACTTAACTAGCCACTATTAGTTACTGAGTAGATCAGTCCCACTCTAATCATTGTTTAGCTGTGCCATCACAGACACATCTCCAATAGGCTATCGGTTTATATAGTTTAAAGCGTGCGAAAGCAAAGGTGAGAGCCCAGCAAACCAGGCTGTTCCATTTACATAACCATGATATAACTAACAAAGAACATTGCCATATAAAATTGTTTACATAACATTTACATATTAGTTATTTATTTTGTTACATAATTATGATAAAACGTAGTAATATAACATTTATATAAATATGTTCCCCTCTTGTTATATTTACATCCCCCTTATGTATCAGCCATATAACAATGTTATATATCTACAATGGAACAATGATACATCATTGATATATGGCAATGTTTTATAGTAACCATATAACCTTATTATATGGTATTTACATAGTTTTTCTTTATTTTGTTACATAATTATAATAAGAAATTTTAATATAATAGTTATATCAAAATGATCCCTTCTTGTTATATTTACATCCCTATTATGTCATGGCTATATAACAATGTTTTATACCTACATTGTAACAATGATATATAAATGTTATATATTAATGTTTTATAGTATTTATATAGCCTTTTTATTTTACTAACGAACGAACGAGTACTCGTTTAAACGGTTGTGTCGAGTGCTCTCTATTGTGTTTTAAGTTAAGTTAAGTTTGATTCCATTTTTTTATAATAAAATGGAAGACAAAAATAGAAAAAAATATATTTCCCTATCCCGGAGGCAAAAGCGGAGGAGAATTAATGCAGATCTCAAAATAATGGGCGTGGAGGTAAGAAATTGTATAGAAAATACCCAAGACAATGTGGAATATACTGAGGCTAAAACCGAAGTATTATCTTTCCCTAACCAGACAATAAATAAACATATAATAAAAATATTTTTACAGAAAATTTGGGAGTATATTCAGGAGGTCATAGGAAAAATTCCCATACTTTTGTGGAAGATTTGCAAGATTTGTGTAATAGATACTTACCTAGTCAACTTTTTATTAATGATCTGTTAAAAGTTTTGAGAAAATATTATTGCAAAAAGAAGTGGAGGCTGAATTTGTAAGTATATAAAGGGCGATTTTAAACCTGTTTAATAATGTTAATTTGTTTTTAAAACAGGGTGCTAAAAAACAAGCGACAAATTATAATTTAATGATATTTGGTAGCCAAAATAAGAGTTTAATTTCTATATTTTTTTTTAACTTTATACTGTTTTTTCAACTGGTACTTAAAAGATACAATAATTTTGCTAAATAAACAAGATGGATACACTTTTTTATTATAATTGTTGTGACAATTAATTTTATGCAAATTCCATATTTTTCATTATTTTTATATAGGTTGCAGATTGCATCTGACTTGAATAAATAAAATCAAACAAATTATTATTTGTACCAAATATCATTTACATAACTACATAAAGAATAGTTGTTCTTTGTTTTGAAAACAAATCAATAAACAAAAATAATATTAAATTGTATTTTTTTTCAGTTTCAGTATATAACAAAAATTGGAGGCGTCTCAGAGAAAGATGCCACAGTAAGAGTTTTAAAGAAAATCTTCTCAAATAATTTGGCAAAAGATTGCTCTTGGCTGGGGCTAAGAAACAACAATAAAATTCAAAATTTAAAATCTGTTGAAATATTTATTGAAGGGTAAAAATGTAAATTTTATGGGATTTTTTATTAAATAAATTTTTTTAAGCTGCTGTGTGCACTTCGACAGACAAAAATTTTGAAGGCATAGTTTCCGAATGGTTCCGGCAGGCCAAACAAAGATTTGGTATACCCTATAGGGAAGCAAAAAACCTATGAAAAAAAGGTATATTAATATTAAATTCATGGGATTGCTTTATCTTTTTTACCATATATTTTTTAGCTTTGAAGTATTAATGTATTTGGGATTTTTTTTTGTTTGGAAAAACTTTTCGTTTGTTTTAAGAAGTTAGAAAGAAGAAATGATTTGTTTTTTTTAATTAAAATAATTTTTAATAAACATTTAAACCAATTTGTTTTTTTTTTAATCTCTTTCAGAATCATTTATTTTTGTAATGTTTACTTATTATTTATGTAATATTTATTTATAATTTATTTAATATATTATCTAACTGGCATTAACAATTTCTTAGTTCTAATTTGGTATTATGGCAATTAAAATTTTGTTGATTTTTTTTCAAAAAATTTGCCATAATACCAAGTTAGGGATAAGCAATTTTTAATACCAGTAAGATAATATATTACATGAAATTATATTTATAAATATTTCATAAATAATATGTAAATATTGCATAAATTATATATAAATAAGTAAATGCAACATTTATGTAAATAGAATATAATTGTTTTATCACGTTTACATAACTATGATATGGCGCTGTAACATTACAGTTACATATCTATGATAAAACACTGTTACATCACAGATACATACCCAGGAAGGGGTCTTGAGGCGGACATAGGAGCATCGCCATTACATATAGGTGACATAGCTGTTGCATAGTAAGGAACAATTTTTATGTAAATGTTATATCACTGTGACATGATTTGGTTTGCTGGGAGGTATTGCAACTAAACTTATGATTGTTCACTGGGAATGTTCTTAGATGGTGTTTGGAAGTTTTAGAGGATCATTTTATGGAATATTCCCAATGAGTATTCCTAGTTGAATATATTTAAAAAACAATAAATAATTTTCTCTCTACAAATTGGTTATATTCCAGGAATATGCGCTATCATCTAAGAATAATCCGCCTAAGCGGATCATTCTAGGAATATTCCCAATAAATATTCCTAGAATGAAGCGGATTATTCCTAGATGATAGCGCATATTCCTGAAATATAACCAATATGTAGAAAGAGAAAATTATTTATTGTTTTTTAAATATATTATATATAAAGAACATTCACTGGGAATGTTCCAAGATGTAGCTTTAAAGTTGTAGAGGATTATTCTATGAAATATTCACTGGGAATGTTCTTAGATGGTGCTTGGAAGTATTAGAGGATCATTCTATGGAATATTCCCAATAAATATTCCTAGAATAAAGCGGATTATTCCTAGATGTTAGCGCAAATTCCTGGAATATAGCCAATTTGTAGAAAGAGAAAATTATTTATTGTTTTTGGAATATAAAGCACATTCACTGGGAATGTTCCAAGATGTTGCTTGGAAGTTGTAGAGGATTATTATATGAAATATTCCCAATGAATATTCACTGGGAATGTTCTTAGATGGTGGTTGGAAGTTTTAGAGGATAATTCTGTGGAATATTCCCAACGAATATTTCTAGAATGAAGCGGATTATTCCTAGATGATAGCGCATATTCCTGGAATATTTTCGAACCTTCATTGCAGCCTGGGAGTACCCTGCAGATTTCAAAAATGACATACGTATAAAATGACAGATGTCAAATATGACAAATTTAAAAATGACAGCCGTCAAATATGACGGATGTAAAAAATGACAGATGTTAAAGATGATAATTTTTGATAATTTCTCTCTCCAGTTTTTGCGTTAAAAAAAGATCAAGGGTCGATGTTTTCATGATTAAATAGGATCGAGTTTAAAATCTCGATCCTTTTTGATCACGAAAAAAACCGCATCGAAAAATGATCAAAAAGGATCGAGTTTTAAAACTCGATCATTTGTCGATCAGTTTTTTTTAGCTGGGTATACCCTGTATACTGCTGAAATGTATGCTCGGCTATTAAATGAGTTTTCTCCGTTTAGTCTACAATGTAATAACTAAGTAGAAAACTACTTGTAAACAATTTTTATTTTTATTATTTTAATGCATTTTTTATTTTTAAAATAACGCCCCCTATTCACGTGGTATGCACAGAAATAGTTTTATTTCTGTGGTGGCATGGTAATAAAATATACATAGCTTTTAATCTTTCTAGAGTCCCAATTTATTTCCGTTCTTTCCGGTCAACTAAGAAGCACTATAGGCTTATCAGAACAAGAAATAAGCGAGCTTGCAGATTATTTTAGAGTTCAAGATGGTCGGATTTTTTACACGCAACTTTGTCAAGTTATACACGATAGCAGTAAATCATATTTTGAACCTCAATATTAAAATCCTGTAAATTAAAAAATCTTTTAGTTCCGGATTTTGCTCAAAATGCGCCCGTGGTAAACGGTCTTGAATGGGAAGATCCTTTACATGTAAACAGATTGAGTATAAGTGAAGAAAGAAGATTAAATATTCTAATAACAAAAATTGCTTCGATTGTGAACATGAGAAAGCTAATTTTGAGACCGTTCTTTCAGGATTACGAACTCGTATTTTATTTTGATCAGTAAATTAACAAATACGATATGTATATTCTTTAGGTGGCTAAAAATAATGGCGTTGTAACCATCGGCCATTTCGCCAGAGTTCTGGATTACCTTCAAATACTTTTGGCGGCCGATGATTTTCATTTATTGGTCAAAAAATTTATCAAAGACAGCTACACCATAAACTACATAGCTTTTATAGCTGCTGTTCAAGAAGTTGTTAATTATATGAATGCAAATGGAGTCATGGATTTAGGAGGAGTAAGATAATTAACGTTTTTAATCTCTTATTAAATAATTTTATTCAAGGATTTGTTAAGTCTATTTCCTGGAAGGATTATAAGTTCAGAGCTTCCCAAGTTACCAAGGCCAGAAATAGGAAAAATAAGTGCGGCTAGCGTTTTTGGAAGACAAACCATTTTTCATCCTGTTCTTAATGAACCCAAAAGATTAGAACAACTTTTGATTCTAATACAGAGAATTCAAAGACACGTGTTAGAAAATAGAATTAGAGTCAGCGAATTTTTTAAAGTATTTACTCAAATTTTAAAAAATAGGTAATATAAATCAATTTGTAGCATTTTGATCCATTAAACTGTGGAAAAATAACAGTATCTCAGTTCCATCGAGGTTTAGATAGTCTAGGTGTCAGCGGCTTACACAAACTGTTTTTATCTTTAACCGAAATAGAAACAGTGATGATGCAGTATCAAGATCCCAGCGATCCCACCAGGATTTGCTGGAGGACTTTTGAAGACGATATCGATCAAGTTTTTACGACAAAGGTTTAACTATAAATAATTCCTCAAATTTCTTAAAATCTTATTTTACCCATAGGAGCTTGAAAAACGCCCACTTAGAGTTATAGATGCTCCACCAATGGAAATACTTGAATTGCCGAGGAAAGGAGCAAAACATTGGCAGTCGGTAAACTTGAAATCTAGAGAACTTTGTGAAGAGGCAGTAGATAAAGTAAAACAAAAAACAATGAAGAGAAGAATATTATTAAAGCCAGTGTTTAGGGATTATGATAAGTATGTAAATATTTTGGGGTTTCAGGATTCTTTAATAATTAATTTAGAAATAATAACGGTCATGTGACGAGAAATCAAATGAGACAAGCTCTACATTCAAATGGCATTCTGTTATCCGATGAAGAATTGTTTTCTTTAGAAGAAAGATTTAACAATGACATGGGTTTTAATTACTTCTGGTTTTTAAGAGAAGTCGATCCAAAACCACAAGAAGATGCCTTGGTAATTATTTGAAGTATTTAAATGAGATTTCCTTTATATACGGCGTGGACAATACTTTAGTATACTGATTTTTTTCTTAAAACAGCTGAGTTTGTAGTTGTAAGGGTAGCAAGCGTTTTTTTTAATTTACCCTGATCTGATGGTACGATTTAAATCGCAAAATAGAAACCAATTGGTTTCTATTTTGCTGCGCACTGATTTTGCCTGCATGCGGTAGAAATAAAGCGAGACAGTTTAAAAATGCAATATTTTGATTATTTTTTGACCATTTTTTGAAAGAAACTTCATGGTTGTTTGTTGCTAGATTTACTGTCTCGCTCCATTTTGGACAAAAAAATCAGTGCACGGGAAAATACACGCCAAGTTATTAACCTATCTGATCAGGGTAATTTTTACTGAATGCTCCCACATTACAAAACACACTGAACCCCTAGTATGGGTTTTTAGAAAAAATAACAATCTACGAGCTTATTGTCACACCTTGTACTTTTTCAGTATACTGGATTCATTGAAGAAATGAAAAAACTAAATAGAGAAAAACCAAAGGCTAAAGCAACGCGACAAGAAAAAGACATAGTTCAAATCATGGCGAAAGTAAAAGGAAAAGTCGTACGGGAAAGAATTAGAGTAATGGAATTTTTACGGGACTTCGACAGATGCAACGAAAATGTCATACTTCGTGAAAACTTTAAAAGAGCGCTAACTACAGCAAGAATTGATATTACGGAGAATGAAATGGAAACCCTTATGGAAGTGTACGTATTGAACTTAAAAATTCTGTATCTACTCCTACATTGACGAGCTGTAACTTTATGGCGTTTTATTGACGGGCTGAAGTTAACAACAGTGGCTTTTCGACATTTTACGTCACGGGCTGAAGTTAGCTTTATTATAAATTGGGAAAAAGTGAGGTTAAATTCGGGTGACAGTTGACAGATGTCAAAATTTTAACAAATAAAATTGGCTTTAAATTCTGTTTTGTGTTCGTCGAGGATAAAGTATAGTATGCAACTCGTTTATAAACTTCTCTAGACACTCGTTTTTATTAAACACTCGCTCGCAAGCTTCGCTCGTGCTTAATTAAACTCGTAACTAAAATTGCGTTTATAAAACTTGATACATAATATACAGTCCGTTCAGGCTAAGTTGAGCGCTTTGGTGGGGGATCATGTGGCTGTTGATTAAATTAAATATCGAATCCTCGCGAGATTTCGGTAACAAGAAGATGATTTATCAGTGCCGCGGCTTGCCGTTTGTTCGTACAAAGCGGCTACTGAAATACATGTATTTAATTGTGCCTGAACATAGAGATGATGGACGGGATGACATTCCTTAGACCGCTCAACTTAGCCTGAACGGACAGTACTATTTTCTATGTTATTTAGGTTTGCTTCTCCGATGCGTCGGGAGTGCGTTGACTATAGGAGGTTTTCAGAGGCTGTGGAAGAGGCGTTTACGCAATCTTGCTTGGAGAGATCTCCTCTAACCATACCTCTTCAACATATTCCCACCAAAGATTGCGAAAAGAACTTCCTTAATTTCGATGAGAGAAAGATCTTGGGCATTGCTATGCAAAAATTGTCCAAGAAACCTGACTTACAAATGAATCTCTACCCAGTCTTAAGAGTAAGAGTAAATTGTTTTTACTGCATTTTTATACTAAATATTTGTTTTTGCAGGATTATGATAAGGAAAACTGTGGAACAATATCAGAGCATCAATTCCAAAAAGCGTTAATACTTCGCGAAATGATGGATTTAATATCGCCTAACGAATTTGAAGTGATTTGTAAATGTTTCAGCTTTGAACGAGGAATGCGACAAGAGATCGACTATAGAGCTTTTATGAAAGCTTTGGACATTTTATACGCCACTGATAAGTACAATCCTTTTTAAAAAAACGACACTTTTTTATTGAACATTCCATGCTTTTGTAATTCCTTTATTTTAAATAAAATCATCTCACTTCTATATTGAAACTTTTAAATCGCAAATTTATTTCAATTTATTTGGTGTCCTTTGAGATCATCTGACAATTCTTTAGATATTGATTTCAAAATCAAAATGATTTTATATGTTATCGCTTTTCAGTCGATTGACAAATAGGGTATTTAAAAAAATGATATTTTCTCCCCAATGTGTAGGTTTTTTATTGATGGCTTATTTAAAAACGTACCTGCAGGTACGACACATGTGTCCATTTTACGACTTACTTTACTAGAATTATATAAAATTAAAAGTGTACCTACCATTGCTCCTTTTTAATTGCAATTCCACGTAATAGTAGGTAATTTATGCAACAAGAATACAAAGCGTCTTGTCCCAGCCCTCGAGTGAGTAAGTCGATGTAGCGGAGTGAGTAAACGTAAAACGTTAAAACCATAACCAACTAATAAGCCCTCATAGTGCAAACAACTATAGTGTAACAAATACAGTGAGTACAGACAGGCCCGTTTCTGGCGAGCGTGCAGTGCGTGCACGCACGCAGGCGCAACATTTCGGGGGCGCAAAATCAAAGAGTAAATCAGTACTTTGTAACGATAAACTTTCTTGCATATGATACTTAAACATACATTGGATAAAGGTTTCTGCCTTTTTTGCGTCGGCCGCTCTTTTTTTCGGTCGCTATAAAGCGCCTTTTGCAGCTTTGATATTGGCTGCTTATTTTGTTTTGATATGAGGATCAAAATAAAAGGAGAGAAATGGTCATATTATCTTTAGTATTTGTTTGATTGTTGCAGTTGACGGTGGCAAAGTTTAACAGTAGTAACTCTCTAAAATAGAATTAGTCAAAAATGACTAATTCAATTAGTCTAATTGCAATAGCGAAAAAGCAGCGACTAATAATTATTGTTAATAGCAATTTGTATCCCGGATATTTAGCAGTCAACTCCTATGTAAAATTGTCCGCTGAATCCGAAAATGTCGTAAAAAGTTATAAAAGTAGAACGTTTTTGAGATTTTGTAAATTTTCCATATAATATGGTATTGACTATATCTTAAAAACTGCTTTACTTTTATAATTTTTGACGGAATTTTCGGATTCAGGGTACAATTTTACATAATAATAAGCTGTTAAATGCCCGGGATACAAATTGCTGTGGACTTAAGTTATTAGTGACTGCTTTTTTACTTTGAAAACTAGTCATTTTTAGAGAGTACGTCACTAAAAACCAGTTGTAGTTATTATATTGTTTAGATTGTTTTTTTTTGTTTTCTTTAGAGTTCTTTTATCACGGACTATTTCCCTCGTCTTAATTTCCATCAATCACAATCGCGCAATTTTGAACTACAAATGGTTTCTAGGTGGAAAAACTCTATGACAGCCCCTGTCAGCAGTTTTTTCGAGTTTACCTGCGGCAAAACTTGACAGCTGTTGTCCAAAAATTGCAATTTATATTTTAATTGTTAACTGTTACTCATGAAATAGTCTTGAAATCGAGGGGTAAACCACTGATTTTTTAAAATTAAAAATCGCTTACGAATTAACGGCTAAGGATAACAATAACAAGGGTAGTCATGTACAACGCGTCGCTAAGCACTGATTAAGCAAGTTTTCCTTATTGATAACGACTGATAAGAAAAAAAATCTCAACACAACGTTCACTAACATTGAACGTTGCTCTCTAAGATTTTTAAGTGGTTTAACCCTCGCTTGAAATATACCTTTCGGGCATCCAACTTTTCCTGTGAAAAAAATCGTTAAAATACAATGCTAAGTAATATTTTTTAACAAAATGCATTCGTGCAGGTGCAAAAATCCTCGTCCTCGACTCGGATTTTTGTTGCCACCAGCACTCATGCTTCTTGTTAAAATATTACTTAGCAACGTGTGTTTTCGATTTATTTCGGAAAAAATAGATGCCCTTATGATATTACTTGTTTTTTATACTTAATTTAAGCGTTTTTTTACATTTTCAATTACATATTGCCAGTTTGTCGCAAAATATATATTTTTTAAATTTTACGGCTCAAAATGTATTATATTTAAATATAAAAGGGGCGCACCAACGAATGCTGCACGCAGGCGCCAGACACCCCAGGAACGGGCCTGAGTACAGACTACTCTACGGTCAATAATTAGTTAAGGGCCAAGTGAAAAGGAAGAGTGAAGTGACAAGTGCAAACGAACATAGTGAAACGGTCAAAATAGTTAAGTGTTAAGTGACAAGAAAGAGTTAAGTGACAAGTGTCAGTGCCTGAGCGGTCGCACCATCTGTCAACAGGACGATTTGCACTGGCCAAACAAAAGAGGCCAAACAAGGGAGGAACAGGCCACCTGCAAATAAATGCCAAGTATCCTCAACTCAACCGCATGACCTAACATAATTTGCAAATTAAACTAAACAAGGCACATTGCCTAATCCCTATAAAAAAACAATAATCATCGGCAACAAATAAAATAAAAAGTCAACTTTCCAAGAAAAAACCAAACAGCCGATCGCGGACACACACCAAAGTTTAACAGGGCAATAAAGCTGTCAACAAAGCAATTAAAGTAGGTATAACAAACCGAGACCAAATAAATTTGACACTTAAGACATAAATAACACATAAACTAAGAAAACATAAACAAAGTAAAAAAGCACTCTAATCAAACTCCATGGAATTTGTAAATTTACAACACATTAGACTTAAAGTAAAAGTAAAAAAAATACCCCCCACTGGGAACTGCCTTATCGCATGACACGTTAGCACAAAACATGCACTTCTCACAAATTAACAAGACCAGTTGGGAGCAACTAAACAACAATAAAAATAAAATAAAAAAAAACAACCGACACACTTTACCAAATTCAGGAACTATCCGACACGGACAATGACAATAATGAACAAGACGAAGACCTTGACTAGGAAACTACACCCCTGCAGCAATAACAACTCCCCAACTCCAAATAGTAATCCCAAATGTTTGGAGTAATACTAATCGACTGGTCTAGGGGGATTCCGCGTCGTACTTAGTTTTAAGTCGGCGTAATTGTCCCCCAAAAACCAACACCTTCCCGTCCCTCCTCCATACCCCACTGAGCGTATAGCATAGGCTCGGCGAACCCGGGAATGGCTATTAAAACTATTCGCCTTTCGCTCTCGAGCCCCAAATAGGGGACAGTACGGAACACAATGGACATTCGTACCCAGCAAACACGGGTGAAGCCGTGCAGTTGCTGGGGAAGAACAAAAATCGGCGTAAGTAAACATAGGCCTGTACGGGGTTCGAGAGTCAAGAGGAAATGGGGCTGGTTATACGTCTCTTATACTCATACTCATACTCAAGAATACAAAGCGACACTTGTTTACACGTATGAGGAACTTTTATAAAACCTTAGAGTTTATTATTTTTTCTACTATAATAATTTCATAAATAATTACTTCTTCCTCGTGCGAAACCCAGACCACAATAAATCTGCCAAACCATTTCAGGAATATTCCCTAAAACTCCCGCTTGTTCTTGGAATGTTCTTTGCGAATATATTAGTAGAATATTTTGTTCTAGGAGTTTTAGAATATTCCGAAGAATATTCCTGGAATAACATAGAAATGCTACTTTGCGGTCTTGAAAAAAGGACGTCTTATGACATTATTTCTTTAACACACCAATAATGGTGGAATTATGCAGCATTAACATTAAGATTAAGATTAATTTAACATAAATGCTTCCATTGTATTGCATTCATCTTAACTTTTTAATGTAAATCTTAATGTTAATGTTAACTTAATGTTAATTTGTGCTGCATAATTCCACCATAAAAAAAGTTTTCTCACCTGTCAAAATAAAATAAGTGTAAAAATTTTTAGTAATTATTTATGAATTTATACTTACTATTTTTCCTATTATAAATTATATTTGCGTATCGTACGGTTGCCATGAACACAGTATATGGAGATTTGTGAGGTGAAAAATGGCGAACTACGTATCTACAATATAGTTCTATAAAAATGTGATTGACGTATATTTTACATACACGTTTATAGAGAAACATGTTCCAAAAAGTAAAGCTAGCGCCAGTGCACTGGCGTATACGCGTAGTACGTATAACATATGCAGTACGTATGCACATATCGTTGAATTTTAGCGGTAATTTTATTTTATGGAATTTATTTTTCCGGTGGCCACTGCGTAATAGAGTAACTTTACGTTCATATTTTACCCGGATTACCTTTCTGGCTACTATCCCAGTGGTTGGAAAAATACAGTACCAAATTCGACTTTTAAAATGTACCAAATTTCCCTAAAATGTACTATGCTTCACACATCGAAGTCCCACCACACGACTTTGATAGAAATAATTCAGGTTAATTTTCAGTGTTAAGCTAATTTCGTCCTTTTTCTGAAAATAATGCAATACTTACATGTATTTTTTGTGTCTAAAGGTCTTAATTTAGAACACAAAAAAATATATATATATACATATATAGCAAATTGCTGTGGTCATTTTCACTAGAACACATGTTAAGCTTACTGTTGCGCATTAATTTATAAAAAAAATACATTTAAGTGTATATCTCCAAAACGGCTACAGTAAAGCCAATAATAACACTATTTAAAAAAAAATGTTTGGAAGATTAAGTATATAAAAACGCCGAGACACGTAAAGTTTTATATCGAGGGGGACAACTTTTCATGTCAAATTTTGGTTTCTCACCCCTACCCCTTGCGCCCAGGAGCTACCCGCTTAAGAATTTGAATAGGGAAGGGGTATCGACCAATACATCATTTTAAAGGTCTTTAAAATCCCTATATATAGGGATTGTATGTAGGTATACATTAATGTTTTATTTTTTAAAATAGGTCTGTTTATTTTTGAGAAAGGGAGGGATTTGAATCCAGGCTTTATTATTGTTTGCAAGAGAACGGGGAACATTTTGAACATTTGACCTAAAAATATTATTATTTTTTATTTTCAATTGTAATTGATAAATAAATTTGTATACCTATTCGTTTAGATTTAGTAAAAGCCAATTTCCAAA